GGAAAGGTTGAGAGAGCTAGGGCTTTTCTCTTTAGAACAACGAAGGATGAGAGGTGACTTGATAGAGGTGTACAAAATGATCAGAGGTATAGATAAAGTAGACAGCCAGAGACTTTTTCCTAGGGTGGAGGTAGCTATTACGAGGGGGCATAGTTTTAAAGTGAATGGAGTTAGATATAGGGGAGACGTCAGAAGTAGGTTCTTTACTCAGAGAGTGGTCGGGGCATGGAATGCATTGCCGGAGAGGGTAGTAGAGTTGGCCTCATTAGGGGCATTTAAGCGGCTATTAGATAGGTATATGGATGATAGTATAAGGTAGGAGTGGAGGTTAGATAGACCTTAGGATTAGGGTCAACATCATGGGCCGAAGGGCCTGTACTGTGCTATGCTGTTCTTTGTTCTATGTTCTATGTTCTAAAGATGCCTGAAAGCTGCCTCTAAAGATGCTAGTTAAAAATGATTGGGTCTGCCTTTAACAGAAGGCAACATCCGAATTTTAACAAGACAGACCTTACTGAGAAATACTAAATTTTTTGAGACTTTGGCTTTAATGAAAGTCTTCTGCCTTCATGCAGTGCAATCAAGTACTCTGAAAACATAGAGCTAATTGTAGCCCCTTACTAAGCTTGGGGATGATCAATTATTACTAACGGAACTTTAGGATTCCTACCAAAAATTAACTGATCTCCCACCATCTTCAGCTTCATCAATGACTTTCCCTCCATCACCATCATCAACATCAGCAGTTGAGATGTTTGCTGATGGCTGCACAATATTCAGCATGATTCGTGATTACTTAGATATTGAAGTTAAGTCCATGCACAAATATGACAAGATCTGGATAATATAAAGGCTGAGGCTTCCAAATGGCAAGTAACATTCACGTCACAAAAGTGCCAGGCAATGACCGTCTCCAGTAAGAGACAATCTAATCACTGCCTCTTGACATCGCTATTCCTTCAATGGCTCATCACAGGAGTTTTATTATCTAACATGGTCTGAAGAAATGCCTGAGGCCTAATGGAATGTGGAAACAGGTGATGGATATATTAATTAAAGAAGTAATTGGGTTTGAATTGGTTGTATAGCATAAAGGAAAAATAATGAATATGGATTACCTCCACAACAATCCACTGGGAAAGAAAAGATTAGATTCATAAAGATCTTAAGTGAGGTTGACTGATTATATTAGAAAGGACTATGGAATTTAATTAGTTTAATAACAAGGATTCATTTGTACAGTTCATTTTATTCCCATTTGGTTGCATTAAGAAAGGTTTCTGTGTCAAACTGCACACACAGGCACTACCCAGCTAAAATGTTGATGTGGCCAATACACTGACCCTGCAGCTAAGTGCATACATTGCTGGTCTTTATCAGCAGCTTGAGTGCCTAGTGACCTCAATGTTGATCTGAAATTCTTTACTGGACTGTAATGTCAATCCTTTAACTGTGTTATAACTATCTTACTTCTAACTTACTTTTTAGATGCTGTAAGTAATGCTACTACTTTTCCTTTTATTCCTCTTTTTTATCCAGGATTTGCCCCTAGATGCTTGTACCTAAGATGGCACCATTAGAGGCAGCCGTTGTAAAATCTTTTCACTGTATTCATGTACTTCTATACTGGAGTACACTTGGCAATAAAGGATATTCTTTTCTATACCACTCTGAGCTGCTCAGCAACATGATATTGTAGATAAAGCTAGCCTTATGAGGCTACAGGATTAGCACAGTAATAAAAAGCAGGTTCCAGAAGAAAGATTAGGGCAGGATCTGGAAGATAGGGATGGTAGCTAAGACCAGGAGTAGCAGACACCCTGCCTCCTAGGAATCTGCAACAGACGTATTTTGCATAATGTAAACCTAAAACAGACCATGTTGGAATTCAAGTAATCTATTGTCTACGTGTTTCCCAGTGTATATATATCTGATGATTTCTTGGTTGGGCAGAGTCCTGCTTCAGAATCTTTCTGAGGTAGAGCTCTCCCAACATGTTGGCAAAATAAACAATCATAACCTGTACCTGAGGTTCCTGAGATTATTTTGTACAATAATATACCACAGCAAGAACGATGGGGAGCTAGTAAACAGCAGGGGTGAGTTTTTTTTTATGGAGCATGATTAATTCAAATACAACTCTCACTAAGAGTGTGGACTTGAATTATGCTTAAATACTATTATCTTTTGGAATATAATATCATAGCAGTGAATGGTTGGGTCAAATTGTAAAGTTTTGGGGTATGATTACCCACCCTGTTTTCTGAAAGCCTTATGGCCAGTGGAGGAATGAGGTTACAGTGTGGACCTGGGTTAGTTCTCTTCCAAAGAGGAAACAAGGTATGGGCTTTGTGCTTCCATTACCACACAGAAGCAAAACAATTGTGAATGTGTAAGTACATACCTTAATATTCCAGGGTTTATTGCATCAGAACATCAGCAAGATCTGTCATTTGTCCAGCACAGATTCTGAGTTTCCACATAAAGTTCTTCAAATAGTTGTTATTTCACAAAATTATACTAATTTTTACTCCATTATAGAGACTGCTTAAAGAACATGGAAACAAAAGCAGCTTCATGTTGACTCATTTTCGCCCAGTCTTAATTGTATGTTTTGTATTCGGTGTTTAGCACTAAGATTTGATAGAAAGTTTGGTCTTGTGTAATGTTTTAAGGGTTTACAGAGCCTCATGAAAATGGCAGAGAATTTTTGACTGGATAAATCACAGGGTTGGTATGTTGAGTATGCAAAATAATTTCCTTCTCATAATTAGATTCTTAATCCAATGGCAGGATGCAGTTGACTTGTCAAATGTAACAAGAAATTTGGCATATTCTTAACAGATAAACCTGTTCCCATGATAATTATGATGAAGAAGACAGTTTAGCCTATTTAATTCATCACTTCAATGAGATCTAATCTTCCTTTCCAATTGCTTCTGAAATTATTCCAAGGTTTATTGCATCCAACATTATCTGGAGGATTATTCCTGGTCTTGATCACACCTTGAGTGAAGAATTTCCTGATATCAGCTCTAAAGTTGTCTTTTGTCAGTTCTCTTTTATAGTTTGTAAAGACTAAGTTTCTGAAGTGTTTTCTTTGTAACTCAGATACTTAACACTAGGATAAACTATCTCCAATGTTTGAGTGTTTCCCCAATTTCTTGTTAAAATAAGCTAAATAATTTGGATGTGAACACAGGAGGTATGGTTAATAAAAACCAAAAGAACTGCGGATGCTGTAAATCAGGAACAAAAACAAAGTTGCTGGAAAAGCTGAGCAGGTCCGGCAGCATCTGTGGAGGAGAAAACAGAGTTAACGTTTCAGGTCCGGTGACCCTTCCTCAGAAGCTGCATTTTGGAAAGACAAATCAGGGCAGGACTTATACACTTAATGGTAAGGTCCTGGGAAGTGTTGCTGAACGAAGAGACCTTGGAGTGCAGGTTCATAGTTCCTTGAAAGTAGAGTTGCAGGTAGATAGGATAGTGAAGAAGGCATTTGGTATTGTTGCCTTTATTCGTCAGTGCATTGAGTATAGGAGTTGGGAGGTCATTTTGCGGCTGTACAGGATAATGGTTAGGCCACTTTTGGAATACTGCGTTCAGCTCTGGTCTCCTTGCTATAGGAAGGATGCTGTGAAACTTGAACGGGTTCAGGAAAGATTTACAAGGATGTTTCCAGGGTTGGAGGGTTTGAGCTATAGGGAGAGACTGAATAGACTGGGGCTATTTTCCCTGGAACGTCGGAGGCTGAGGGGTGATCTTATAGTGGTAATGTACTGTCCAAATCATGAGGGGCATGGATAGGGTGAACAGCCAAGGTCTCTTCCCCATGGTAGGGGAGTCCAAGACTAGAGGGCATAGGTTTAAGGTGAGCGGGGAAAGAATTAAAAGGGACCTAAGGGGCAACTTTTTCACACAGAGGGTGGTGCGTGTATGCAATGAGCTGCCAGAGGAAGTGGTGGAGCCTGGTACAATTACAACATTTAAAAGACATCTGGATGGGTACATGAATAGGAAGGGTTTTGAGGGAAATGGGCTAAATGCTGGCAAATGGGACTAGATTAATTTAGGATATCTGGCCGGCATGGACGAGTTGGACCAAAAGGTCTGTTTCTGTGCTGTACATCTCGATGACCCTGTGACTCTAGATGTCATTTCTGGTCTAACTAGAGTGCCACAAATTTTGATTGTTACTTCCTATCACTTGTGTTCTGTTGTTTTGTCTATATATTTCAACTTCTTATTGGTTTTGATTGCTGTTCTTCATTGGTTAAACGCTGTTCTGTATTGGTTAAAACTTCTAAATTGCTTTTAGCATCACTGTTTCTGCAGCATTTGCTCAACACATAATATCTACTTTCCTCCTTTCAAGTATATTTTTAATGAACCTGCCCTGTTGTGGCACATCTCTTTGGTAGGTGGTACTTGAACCCAGACATTCTGGACCAGTGGTAGAGACACTACCACTGTGCTACATAAGCTCCCCACTTTTTTCAAGTGTTTGACTGCTGCTTCCCTATCATCCAATTGTTGATTGGGTCCTATACTTTGCATTTCTATGCTGAGCCCATTTTTGTCATCATGATTCTGGAAGGAGGACTACGGGAGATTTCCATTTTGATTTTTCGTAATGATGATTGCCGTAAAACATCTAATGGATAGTGGAAACTAAAGTGTGGATAATAGTTACACTTGTTAGTTGATGGTCATTCGTTGGCACATGCTAGTGGATGGTCAAGTCTGAGCAACGGGAGGAGCAATGTTAAGAGAGATAGTCAAAAGCTGTGACAGATTTTTAAAGAAATGGGGAGAGATATAGAAAGATGAAGATATGTGAGAAGAGAATTGAATTTTGCAATATAGTGAGAATGTGTGGGTCACACATCACAGCCTGTCAATACAGTTCAACTGTATCCTAATTCACATTGTGATCGTTGTATTTAGAATTGATCGTGCTTTTATGTATGATTTTTATGTGTTTCCCCTTGTGATTATAGGACACAGGACCTTGTATGTTGGTGTGCGTATGCCTCTGGGTAGACAAAGCCACCGACACCACAGGACCCATGGATCAAAGCACAAGAAGCGAGAGAAAGTGAAAGGTACCGGCCAGGAAGAAGGAAAGGACAATCTCACTTATGGTGAGATACATTTCAGCTTTTACTTTCACTGTAAAAGTTTGAGTTGAGTACCCACTTTCTGACATCAAAATTTCAAATCAATGAATATTGTACACAAATATCAAAATATATCTTAGATATGATCCTTTTCTGGATTATACATGGAGAGATATTTTATTTGGAGATTCATTGTAATTCTAGAAACACAAAATAATCCAATGTTTTTTTCTTCTGTTTCTACTTCAGTACAGTGAAACCCTGTTATTTGGAAATATTGAAGTAGAAATGTAAACTGCAGGGTAACCAATGATGAAGCCTGCAGGCTTCATTGTCTGTTTTTCATACCTGTACACAGAAACACAGTATTTTACATAATTACTCTGACATACCAGCTCAAAATTGAGAAGTTAGAGTGAATGCAGGCCCCTTTAGAAAATGAGGCTGGGGAAAGAATGGGGAACCAGGAAATGGCAGACAGGTTGAATAAATACTTTTGCATCTGTCTTCACAGTAGAAAATATTAATAGCATCCCAAATTTACTCAATATGCAAGGGGTAAAATGATAGGAAATAAATATAATAACTATCACTGGAGAAAAGGTGCCAGGGAAACTAATGGGGCCAAAGATTGATAAATACCCTGGACCTGTTGGGTTGTATCCTCGGATATTAAGGGATATAGTTGGATGCACTGGAAATAATCTTTCAGGTATCCTTGAATCTGGAAAAGTCTCGGGGGATTGGAAAACAGTCAATGTAACACCCTTATTTAAAACGGGAAGGAGACATAAAAGCCGGTAACTATAGGTCAGTTAACTTAACATATGTTTTATGGGGATATGTTCAAGTCTGTTATAAAGGACATAATACCAGAGCATTTTGAAATGCATAATACGATCAAGCAGAGTCAGCATGGCTCAGTGAAGGGGAAATCATGCCTGACAAATTTACTAGAATTCTTTGAGGCAGTGTCAAGCAGGATAGATTAAGGGGAAGCAGTGGATATAATACGTGTGGATTTTCAGAAGGCATTTGATAAGGTACCAGACATCAGGCTGCTTAACAAGAGCACATGGTGTTGAAGATAGTGTATTAATAATGGAGAGATGATTAGCTAACTAGTAGAGACAGAAACAAAAACGAAATTGCTGGAAAAATGCAGCAGGTGTGGCAGCATCACTGGACCCAAAACATTAACTCTGCTTTCTCCCCACTGATGCTACCAGACTTGCTGAGTTTTTTCAATAACTACTGTTTTTGTTTCTGATTTCCAGATCCACAGTTCTTTAGTTTTTTCTGTTTAATAGAAGACAGAGTTGGGATAAGGGAAGCATTTTCAGGCTGGTAACCTGTAACCATAATGGTATGCCACAGGGATCACTGCTGGGTCCACAATTATTTACAACATATGTTAATGATTTGGATGAGGAAAGTGAAAATGCTACAGCCAAGTTCATGGATGACACAATAATAGGTGGGAATGCAGGTGGTGAGAATGACAGAGTCTGCAGAGGGCTATAGGCAGGTTAAGTGAATGGCTAAAAACTTGGCAGAAGTAGTGAAGTGGAGAAATGTGAAGATATGCATTTTTGCAGGAAGAATAGAAGAGCTGAATATTACTTAAATAGAGGACTATAGAAAGCCACAGAACAGAGGATTTGGGAGTCCTTATCCACAAATCTCAAAAATACTCGCATCCAAGTTTAGCAGGCAAATAGAAATGTTGGCCTTTATTTCAAAGGGAATGGAGTGTAAAAGTAGGGAGGTATTGCTAAAACTATACAAGACACTAGTCAAACCACAACTGGAATTCAGTGAACTGTTTTGGGCCACTTATCTAAGGAAAGATAGACTGTCATTGGAGGCAGTCCAGAGAAGGTCCACTAGGCTGATCCTGGGTATTGACAGACTGTCTTATGAGGAGATTCTGAGTTGATTGGGCTTCTACTTGTTGGAATGTAGAGGAATGAGAGATGACTTTGTTGAAATATACATGATTATTAGGGGACTTGACAGGGTAGATGCAGAAAGTTTGTTTCACCTTGCGGGAGCCATAAGCACTTGTGATGCTGGGGAGCTCTGGAGGAGGCTGAGATGGATTATCACTAGGCACTTTTGGCTCAGGATTGTTACAAATATTTCAGCCTTGACTTTTGCAAATTGCATATTAGGAGGATAATAAAAGAGATGCAGCAATAATCTTTGGGGACTTCCTGCTTCACTATGAGTGCTTAAAAAGAAAACCAACATAATCTAAGCCAGACATTCCGATACCTTGTTGACGAAGCGCTAGAGGATATTTTATAAATGACAGTACGTTTTGAAGTACAATTAAATATCACTGCCTATTCCATAATGAACTAAAATATGTCTTGCTTATAGAAGTTTTCAGGCTGGTAAATCAGAATGGAAGACATCCTTAAAACTGAAAGTACTTTGTTGTGAGTTAGCTGGAACATATGGAATAGGCCAGGATAGTGGCAACTTGATCAACAGTAGGGGCACTGTTTCAATATTGGGAAATAGCCTTGCATATGAAACTAGGGAATGAGAAAAGACCATTTGGCCCATCAAGCCCATTCCCTCAAGTACCACACACATTTACACTATCACAGCAGCTGCCCACCCTGATCCAACAGTTCCTGAAAGATGGTTTGGATCAGTTAAAACTTCCCTACTCTTCAAAACAAAGTAAATGCAATATGTTTCCTCAGAAACGTCCTGACATGCCTGAATAGTATACACCTGAATATTTCTGTAGTTTAATCACCTCAGCCTAAATTAGTTCCTGGTCCTTCAATTCCACTTCTTACCAGGTAAACATGATGTGGAGGTGCCAATGTTGGACTGGGGTGGATAAAAATTATAGTTCAACACGTTTATTTGAAATCACAAGTTTTCGGAGCGCAACAAAAATATAAGTTGCTGGAAAACTCAGCAAGTCTGGCAGTATCTGTGAAGAAAAATCAGATTAACATTTCGAGTCTGGTGACCCTTCCTCTGAACACAGACACAGTCACTGAGGAATGTGATATGGCTGTGGAAACGAGTTTTAGCAAATACCTGGTCAAACACCAGGAGTGACAGTGAAATTAATGTCAGTGGACAAGAAGAAAGATTGGAACGGAAATCCCGTCGGAGTGAGGAGCAGAACTTCTTCAAGGTGGGCATGCCTAGAAGAGATGTGGCCGTGAGTTAAATACTAAATAAAAACTGAAAGAACTGCAGATGCTGTAAATCAGGAACAAAAACAGAAGTTGCTGGAATAGCTCAGCAGGTCTGGCAGCATGTGTGAAGAAAAATCAGAGTTAACGTTTCGGGTCCGGTTCTGAGGAAGGGTCACCGGACCCGAAACATTAACTCTGATTTTTGTTCGCAGATGCTGCCAGACCTGCTGAGTTTTTCAGCAACTTCTGTTTTTGTTCCTGATTTACAGCATCAACAGTTCTTTCGGTTTTTATTTAGCTTTCAGAGTACGCTCCTTCATCAGGTGAAGTCAGTTAAACAACCAATCTTGTTAAAGTAGCTTCATTAATTAATGCAGATTATCTCTGGCTGTCCAAACATTCAATACTTCAATCACTCTGAAGGAAACAAATTGTTTGCTACTATGCCCAATAGAAATTAATGTGAGGAGAAAAAGTTTTGCCCTGTTTTCTGGTCCTGACCCAAAAAATGAAGGATCCAGAAATTTGATTGCATCTGAAAATCTGTGTTCTCCATGGACACTTCCATGTGGTTGCAGAAATCATGCTGAATTGGTGCTTGCAGCTCATTATTTTGAACCACATGGCAGCCAGCACAACCAATACTATTTATTGGAGACGGCTGGGGCAAGGGGGATAGTGGTGCAGGAAATTAGCTTCACTGAGACCTCTTAAAGACAGCCATTACTCTCACAGTAAGAAGCACACTGTGAAGTACTTGTGGGAGAGAAACAGCTGCAGGAGGTCCAGCGAGGGCACGTAAGCTTTCTGATGCTGTACTAACATCTGACCAGAAGGAGTTGGATCTTGTTTACCATGAATTGGAGGGGTTGATGGTAGAAAGTCTTTGAGGCAACATCTGTCACCAGGAGATGACTGCAGTCTTGAAAGAAACTTAATAACCTCCAACAGAATTCCCTTGATAATATTCTTAAAGTTCACCTCAATAACAGTTTCCTTACACCAGACATAGTCTCTCTACTCAATTCACTCCTCCCCTGCTTCCCTTCAGTTTTCTACAATCACTGCACCGTGCTTCACTCTATTGCCTTCATCTCTCACTCATTGCTATTGTCACTATGATTATAACTATGTTTCACACCTCACACCACATATAAACTATTCAATTATGACAGGCACATACACAAAACACCTCACGATACCAATAACATATCCATTTCTTGCAGGAGAAAGTCATACACAACTTGAAAGGAAGCTATAACTGGAGGAGGCTGGGTCCATTAGCACATTCTCTCCCTGATGAAAGAAAATGTGCTGGCCACTGCGGGCAGGTAGACAGCCATGGTAGAGGAGACATCATGCTTCCAAATTAAGCTACATACTCTGCATGACATGCTGGCAACTATTACTAGCAATCATTTCTCTCTCTGCTGTCCCTCAAACTAAAAACTAACCCTTTTCCCTGTCTTCCATTTCAGGTGCTGAATGTGTGATTACCACTATTCTGTGTGACCTGATCTAACTTGCTCAAGACTGATACCATGCATACTTGACACCCACCATGATGCTGATAGCTGGTGCTGATAGCTTGGTCAGCCACCATTGAAAATCTTGTTCCTGCCACGGAAGCGCAGATGACTTTCATATGGGCCCTGGGCACTAGTATTGACCAGGCCTTTCAGAATGTCATATCATTCATATGTACTGTGTTCTCAAACAGAGTTGTAGGAATGCTGAGATGCAATCCCAGAAGAGTGGCTTAGATTCCTGAGAGAAGCACTTGCTGCCCTTTCTTAGGAATACACATGCCTACTCCTTTGCCAGCCACTTAAATTCTCCAGTGTAACACAGCCA